GGCGGGGGTCTGCCGCCCCCCAAAGGGTCTCCACGGTCTTTTCTCGAGGGGTCCCCAGAGACCCTGCGATCCCCGAGGGGTCCCCATGGCCCCAACCTCCCAAAAAGGTCTCTGTGATCCTACCACAAATGTTCCCCATGGCCTTGCCACCCCCAAAGGACCCAATTGTCCCCAAAGGGTCCCCACGGCTCCATTGTCCCCAAAGGGACCCCACGGCTCCATTGTCCCCAGTGGGTCCCCACAGCCTTGTCCTGTCCCCACCACCCCAAAACGTCCCCGTGATCCCCTCCAAAACCTCCCCATGGCGCTGCCACCCTCGAGGCGTCCCCCCCGTCCCGGGGTGGGGGTTGTCTCACCGTGGCCTCTCGAGGGCCGGAGCCCCCGGGGGGTCCTCGCCTTGTGTCCCCGCCACGTGCTCGGCGCTGCTCTGCTTGCGCAGGCGGCGGGCGGCTTTGTTCTGCGCCGGGACGCTCTGGGTGCGCTGCACGTTCTCCGCTCGCGGCCGGGCCGAGGGGACGGGGACGGGGACGCGCGCCCGCCCCGGCTCCGCATCCGTCCCGTCCTCGCGGCTGCGCACGCGGCGGATGCTGACGAGGGACTGCTCTTGATGAGGGGCTGTGCTTGCTCAGGTCCCGCGGGGCACGAAGCCCGGCTTCTGGCTCTCCGCCGGGCTGGGCAAGGAGGGGGAGGTGGAGTCACCCTGTCCCCAACCGGAGCAGAACCACCCCGAAAAGCTCCCGGTGTCACCCTGCTGGCCCCACGCGTGTGTCCCCTGCCCACCCTCCGGTACCTTCGCTCCGTGGTGGAGCTGAGCCGGACGGAGACGGGCACCGGGGTGCCCTCCCTGATGGCATTGAGGATGGGGGCAGGGGCTCCAGCTCCTCCTGCGTGGCCTGCCAGGACAAAACGGGGACGTTACGGGGACGCCGGTGGCCCTAGGGTGGGTGACACACACGTGGCAGCGAGAACCCGGCTCAGCGCACGGGGACAAGACGGTGGCTGGGGTCACCGGCCCCACGTGGGGACGGACACACGGGGTGGTGGCACCTGGTCCAGGCTGGAGAAGATGTCACAGAGCAAGAGGTGCAGGGTGGCGAGCTCCAGGGCCAGGTCCACGTAGCCGTCGTAGGTGGCCATGTGGACGCTGCTCTCGGGGTTGGCCACGCTCTGCAGGAAGGCCGTCATCGGGCCCCAGTGGTGCTCCAGGAACTCGTTCATGAAGCCCATGTAGGCCTCCTTCTCGCCGAACCTGGGACATCCCGTGGTGGCCTGTCCCAACCGGTGTCACCGCCGCGTCCCCAAACCCGCCACCACGGGTGAGGGCACTGCCGTGTCCCCTTGGCGTGCCGGGGACGTCCCCGGTGCCCCGTAGGGTATGTGGGATCCCTCTCTGCAGCCCCATGCCACGGAGGAGCTGCCCCATTTCAGGGCACCTTGGGGACATCCCTCCTGCCCCATGGCCGTTTTAAGGGCACACCCACAGGCCTGTAGGGGCTGTAGGGGCTGTAGGGGACATCGATGCCGCCCCATGGGGAACCCCCCTCCCCACCAGCCACCGCCGGGCGCCGTGACCTACGTGGTGAATGTTGGCCAGGTTCTGGATGACCTTGGCCACCAGGGTGAGGGTGCGGGGCGGTGGCCCTCGCTGGGGTACTCCTGGACGAGGCCGAAGAGGCTGGGGGACATGATGGCCGGGCAGAGGAACCGCAGGAAGAGCGAGGCCGACACCAGGCGCTGCCCGATGGCCGCCTTGCCCCGCGCCGCGCACTCCTCCTGCCACGCCGCGAAGATCTCGCCCAGCTCCGCCGGGAAGGCTCTGCGGGGACAGGCGGGTGGGGTGGGTGGCCCCAAAGTCCCCCCGCGATGGTCCCCGTGTCTGTCCCAGACCTGTCCCCACGTCCTCCCGGTGCCCACCGCCGTGTCCATCCCAGGCGTGGCGCCTTTTCTCTGTTCCTGTCCCCAAACTTGTCCCCGTGTCCTTCCCCGTGTCCATCCCGGTGCCAGGACCCGTTCCCGTGCCCATCCCCAAGCCCGTCCCTGGGTCTTCCTGCTGGTGGCTGTCCCCGTGCCCTCTCCCATGCCCGTGCCGTTGCCCAAGCCCTTTCCCGTCCCCTGCCCCTCACTCGCAGGACGTGGCGATGCGCTGGAAGGTCTCCTCGCAGACCTGCCGCAGGTTGTTCTGGTTGTCGGAGAGGTCGGGGCCGGCGCATTTACTGGGATCGACCTCGCAGCTATCGTCCGAGGTGCAGAGCTGGGCCAGGGCCTCACCTGGGCACCGGGGGACAACTGGTGAGGGACTGGCCGGCCCCCACCACGGGCACGGCTGTGACGAGCCCCCAGGGGTGTGCTGGGGGTGTCCCACAGCCCGAAATGCCCCAAAATGCCCCATAACATCCCGCCCATGCCCTGCACCCCGTAATGCTCCCAAAGCCTTTTAATGCCCGGCCGTACCCAGCGTGTCCTGGAGGTACTTGCCCCCCACCAGCTTCATGTATTCATCGATGGCCTTGGTGGCCAGCGTGTTCTCGCGGAAGATCAGCGCCTCCCGGTCGTCGAAGCGGTCCAGCTCGGCCACGCCGAGGTCAATGAGGAACGCCTGCGGGGTGGCCACGGCGAGGGGCTCAACCCGTGGGCCCAACGGGACTTGGCAACCCCAGCCCGGGCAGTGCCTGGGTCTCCTGGAATCCCCTCGAACTGAATTTCCCATCCTATCCCATCCCATCCCACTCGCAGTACCGTGCCATGCCACGCCATCCCAACCCAACTCAACCCAACCCAACCCAACCCAACTCAACCCATCCCAACCCATCCCATCCCATCCCATCCCATCCCATCCCATCCCATCCCATCCCATCCCAACCCAACCCAACCCATCCCAACCCAACCCAACGCATCCCAACCCAATCCACCCCAACCCAACCCAACTCAACTCAACTCAACTCAACCCATCCCATCCCATCCCATCCCATCCCATCCGGTCCCATCCCAACCCAACCCAACCCAACCCATTCCAACCCCCCCCCACGTCCACCACACCTCGCTCATGGCGCTCCCTACCTTGGCTTTCCCGGTGCTCTGCAAGACGTGGACCAAGGTTCCGGCCAGCTCCTCCTTGTGCCGCACGGCGATGGTGGGCTCCAGGTGGGCGCACAGCTCGCGGTAGTGGAAGGTGATGAATTCGGCCAACTCCTTGTAGCGCACGATGGGCAGCACCCGCACCTCCCGGTACCGCCCGCGCACCCGCACCGCTGGCGCCCGCTCGCCACTGCCGTGGCCGCCCAGCGGGTACCAGCGCTCCAGGGGCTGCCGGGCGGCCGCCAGCTCTGCCAAGGGGACGGTGACAGATGCCACCGTCTGGCAGGGGTGGCCCTGGTCATCGCGGCACAGGGCGAGGGTGAGGGCGCGGGCGGGCGGCAGGGCGGCCAGCTGGAAGAGCTCGCCCCAGAAGAGCTCGCCGTCGGGACCGGCCACCTTGGCGGTGGTACGGGCGAAGAGCGCGCCGTCCAGGAGGAGGTGGCAGCGGAGGTGGCGCCGGGGTGGCAGGTCCCGCGCCTCGTACACCCACAGGCTCAGCGCCAGCTCCAGCCGCTCGCAGTTATCCTGGGGAGGGTGAGGGGGGGGAAGCGTGGGGTCAGGGGTAAGGGGAGGGGGTGTAAAAGTCAGTGGGGGCGTTGGGGGGACACGGCGTGGGGTTTGTGGGTGGAGATGGGGACAGGAGGGGACGTGGGGGACAGCCAAGCCCTCGGGACAAAAGGGGGCATGGGTGGGGACAGGACTCATGCTCAGGGTGCCGGGGGGTGTCCCTGGGGGTGGCGGGGGTGTCCCATGGGTGCCCATCCCACCTTGTTGGGCTGCACGGTTCGGCGCAGGTTCTCGATCCAGCGGTCGCGCTCAGCCAAGGACGTGCAGCCAAAGGAGCGGCTGCCCTCAGCGGTGATGATCTGGGTGCAGGGGAGGTGTCAGGAAGGCACCCCGGGGTGCCCAGGGGATGGCCCTGGCTTGGGGTGCTTATGGCTGTGCTAGGGTGCTCTGGGTGCCCAGCGGGGGTCCCCTGGGGGCTTGGGCAGGGTGCCCTTGGTGCTCTGGGTGCCCCAGGAGCCAGGCAAGGAATTATGTTGGGGTGCTTGGGGTGCTCTGGGTGCTCCTCCAGGGTGTCCTGGGTGCATGCCCACGATTTCGGGGTTGCCCTGGGTGCCCCGGCCACCTCCCAAGGGTGTCCCGGGTGCGTGGCCGGGGCCGTTACCTGGAAGCAGAACTTCTCCCCCACGATGCTGCCGTGCACGGGCCGGATGATGACGTTGTCCCCGGTGAGGTCCAGCTCGGCGGCGCTCGGCGGGGGCAGCAGGGACTCGCGCGAACCGCTCTGGCTCGGGGTCCTGAGGGGGACACGGCTGCCACCAGGGGCCCTCCCCGGTGTCCCCACCACCGTCCCCGCCGCCTCCCACGGGGCCGTACCTCTCGCCATCAGCCACCGCCGTCGTCTCGGTTTTGGGCACTGCGCGCCCTTTCCGATCCCGGAGCCGCTTCCACAGCAGGCCCTGGTTTAGGGACAAGGGGATGGATGCCACGGATGCCACGCGACTTCCTGGGTGCGGCGTGGCACCCAAGGGTGGCACCGGGCCCGGGATGCCCACCTTGACATTGCTGAACTGGGAGGTGACCGAAGCGTCGCTGTCGGTGCCTTTCCCTGCTGCCCGTGTGTTTCTCTCCTCCGTGGCCGGGTCTGCTGGAGCCACCCCCATCAGCCTCCCCCTTAGGTGCACCCCCAGCCCCCCAACACCACGGTAGGGTGCAGGGGGGCAGGGTACAGCCCAATCCCCCCCCACCACCACCCCGGGAAACATCAACCAAAGCGGGAGGGAGGACGGAGCCCTCCTGCCCCCGGAGGTTCTGGGTGCCAAATCCTGCCCACCTGTAGCCCCAAAATTCAGCCAAGCCTCGGGTGCAGCCCGTTCGTGGGTGTGAGGGAGAAGGGTGCAGAGGGGCTGGGGGTCTGGGGGGGTCCGGGGAGGGGGAACTCACCTCCCTGCGCAGCGCAGAGCAGCCAGCGGCGGGGGCCCATGGCTGGTTGGCGGCGGCGCCTGCCCGCGCTGATGGGGGGCGCGGGGAGGAAGCCGAAAGCGCTTATCGGCCGGATCAGCACACGCAGCAGCGTGGAGGAAGCAGTGACGGCGCCCGGCACCCTTGCACGGAGGACTTCCTCCAGGCCCCAGCGCTCGGTGTGGTGCACGGCGCATGGTGCAAGGTGAGGGGCATGGCACGGGGCATGGCACGGGGGGCAGGGCGCAACGCACGACGCACGGCGTGGGGCACGGTGTGGGGCACGGCACAGGGCACAGAATGGGGCTTGGCGTGGGGCATGGTGCAGCGTGGGGTGCGTGGCACGGTGCACAGGGCACGGGGTGGTGCGTGGCGTGATGGATAACATGGAACATGGCACGAGGCATCGCATGGGGCATGGCCACGATGCGCGGCGTGGGGCGTGGGGCACGGTGCGTGGGGCGTGGGGCACGGTGCGTGGGGCGTGGGGCACGGTGCGTGGGGCGTGGGGCACGGTGCGTGGGGCGTGGGGCACGGTGTGTGGGGCGTGGGGCACGGTGCGTGGGGCAAGGCCAAAGGCTCCCCGCACAGGAGCTGCTCCAGAGCTTGCAGCAGCCCTGCCAGTGCCCCGTGCCATCAGCTCACCGGTGTCCCTCCTGCCACCCGCTGGGTGCAGGTTGGTGCTCTCGGAGCTCCCGGTCCGGTTCCTGCTCCTGCACGAAGCCTGAGGGCGCAGCGGGGTCAGGCACCGCCACCTCCAGCACCCCGTGCACCCCAGGGTGCCCCGGGGTCCCCGTGTCCTCACCTCTTCATCCCTGCCCACGTGGATCAGGTGCCCGTCCACCAGCGAGAAGTTGGAGACGTCCCACACTGGCGCATCGGGTGCCGGAGCCAGCGGGGCTGTCGGGGCGCTGTGGGTGCTCTCCGGGGCTGGGGGTGCAGAGCAGGGTGTCAGGACCACCCGGTGGGTGCTCGTTTGGTCAGCGCGGTGGCACCAGGGGACGTGGCCGTGGCCGTGCCACCAGGGGTGCAGCGGTGCTGGAGGATGCGTGGCCGTGGAGGTGCCACCATCAGCGTGGCAATGCCGGGCCGCACGTGGCCACGACCAAAGCCTCTACAGGTCACACGCAGGGACCCAGCCGTCCTGCCCCCACGGGTGCCCCCCTACCCAGCACTGGCAGAGCCTGCCCCACATCCTGCCCCACACCACGGCCCAGCTCACAGCCCCCGCGCCCCTCGCCAGCACCCACCCGCCACCCATCACCCCCCTCCTCCCAGACCATCTCCCACGTCCCCTGCCCGCCACCCATCGCCCACCACCGTCACCCCCTCCCCAGCACCCAGCACCCACTCCCTAACCCCCCCCAGCACCCCCGTACTTGGCAGAGCGTCGCGGTGCGCCCGCTCAGCCCTGGCACCGCTGTCCCCGTGGCCCTTTCTCTTGGACATGGAGCGCAAATACTTCTGCAGGGTGGCCTTGCCACCTTCGGGGCTCCGTGGCTCCTTGGCCACCTTGGAGGGGGCCGAGAAAGCCCGCTGGAAGAGGGACCGGCGGGTGCTGGCTTTGGGTGCCCCCTTCCCAGCCCCATCGTCGGGGCCGTCGGATTCGGGTTGGCTGTAGGAACGCTTCCAGCCCTGCAGCCGGGTCCAGCGCCGGCTGCCCGGGGACCCCGTGCCCCGCTCGGGTTCCCGGTCACCCATGGGTGCTGCCGTTCGCCATTTGTAGGTCTTCAGCAGCGTTGGCGTCTCGGCTGCCGCTGGGGGTTTCTCCACCTCCATCTGCGGGATGGGGAGAGCCCCGTGAGCCACGGCCACGGGCTGGGGTGGGGACCGGGGTGGGCACCCCTATTTGGGTACCCCTCTCCAAACATCCCTTCTGGGGCACCCCCATTCTGGCCCCCCTATTTGGCTGCCCGTCTCCGCATCCCAACTGGGGCACCCCCAACCTGGCACCGCTACCTGGGTGCTCTCACCTAGGGGGGGCTCTATCCGGACACCCCCTTCCATGTCCCCCTGTTGGGGCACCCCCACATTGCTCCCCAGTTTGCACGCTCGCAGGGGGGCCACCGCGGTGCCGCCGACCCCGCACCCACGCCGCCCCCCATGGCACCCCCTCCGTGCCGGGGCACAGGGGCGGCAGGATACGGTGCCACTGGGGCGCGGTGACACCGGGTTGGGGTGACACCGGGGGTGGGTGGCCCTGCAGCCACCCCGGCCCCAGGCACAGGCGGGTGCCGGAGATGTTTCCGTCGCCATCGCGGCCGCGCTGCCGCGGCATTTCCTCCCGGCACCTGCACCCTGCGCGTGCCCCACGCCCGCCGGGGGGGGCTCCAGGGATGGGTGACCCCCCACCCATCCCCAGCCCGCACCCCAGGGTGGGTGCAGGCCAAGGCGGGGGGGCTGCTCCCGTGGTGCTGGTTGCACCCCGCAGCTTCCTTTGGGGGGCACCCGCAAGGTGGAAGCGAGCTGCAGGCGCCCGCCAATTTTGGGGTGCCAGCACCCAGGCGCTGAGCTGGGGAGGGTGCCCCAGAGCTGGGGGTGGTGCCGGTGCTTTTGGGGTCCACTCTCCCCCCCTCCCCAGCTAGCAGCACCCTCCAGCACCCCCAGCACCCACGGAGCACCCTTTGCTCAGCAGGGAGCTGCCTCACCCCATGCTGGCACCCCACGCCCCCCCCTTTGGCTCCCTCCCACCCCCGCCTGCTCCCGAGGCTGCAGCATCACCCCAGGGTGCCACCTCCCCGCGGAACCCCCCCATCCCCGCCGTACCTCGGCCGCCTGCTGCCTCCTCGGCACCCGGGCTCGGCCGCCCCGGTTCCTGCCGTGGCTTCCCCATGTGACCAGGCAGGAGTTTCAGTCACACCCTCACCTCCGCCTCTGCCCCGCTGATGTTATCGGGGCGCCCAGCCCGGCCGGATCACGCTCGGCCACGGCCCCGGGGGGCACCGAGCCGGGAGAGCCACGCCGGGCCCTCCGCCAGGTGCTCGGGAAGCGCCGGAGGCCAGCGGTGTTCGCCCAGCTCAGTGGCCATCATTAGGTTTCAGAGTGAACAGGTGCTGGAAACATCGGCGCTGGAGCATCACGGCGCAGGGCGGTGCGGGGACACCTCCGGGGGCTGGGTGGGGAGGGTGGGTGACCCCAGCTGGGGGCTTGGGGGGGTCTCCAAGGTGGGCTCAGCTTGGGCTGTCCTGATGGGCACGGGTCATGCGTGTGCACGTGCGCACCCACACACAGGGTGCGGGACCCCCCGGCCGCCCACCGCCCCGTGCCTCAGTTTCCCCCTCGCTCCCCAGGGGCCGAGCTGCTGTCCTGGCACTGATTTTATTAGGGGGGTGCTAATAAATAGGGGGGTGCAGCATCCATCCGGGCTGCCGTCCGTCTGTCTGTCTGGTCTGGGGTCCGGCTGGTGTCCATGGTCCCCCATCAGGCCTCCATCCGCCCCGACCAGGATCCGACCTTGGCAGCACCCATCCGGACCAGCACCCATCTGGACCAGCACCCGTCCGGACCAGCACCCCCCCAGCGCAGCGCCCTCGGAGGCCGGTCCTCACTGCGAAGGAGAGCAGAACCCACGGGCAGTCCCGGCACCGAACCCGCTCCCACCTCGGTGGGCTCGGGCCACCCAAACCCCCACCCCCGGTGCCCACCTGGAAGCCGCGCCAGGTCCTGATCTCCTGGAAGAGGGAGTCTCCGGGGCAGCTGGTGTTCACCACCTGCCGGTGGCCGCGCAGGGCGTAGTCGTGGCGGAGCCGGCCGGCCCTGACGGCGCAGGGCAGGAGGCCGTCGCGCACCAAAGCGATGGCGTCGGGGTCGGGCAGGGTGGCCGAGAAGTTGCCCACGTAGCCCACGCCGTAGCCTTTGGTGTTGTGGCCTCTGGTGTGGGCACCCACCCAGTGCCACCCCCGGCCTTGGTACAGGTACCCGTCCGAGCCCACCACGAAGCTGCGGGCACCCAAGGGTGTTGGGTGGTGAGGATGGCGATGGGGTGACGGGCACCGCAGCGGGGTGACGGGGCTGGCAGCGGGGTGCCGGTGCCGTCGGGCTCACCTGTAGCCGATGTCGTCCCAGCCCCGGGTGTCCTGGTGGAAGCGCTGCATGGAGCGCATGGCGCGGGCGCAGGCGGCGAAGGTGCGGCACGGGGCGCTGGGCACGAAGGTGTGGTGGATGTAGACAGAGCCCAGGGGCAGGGACAAGGGTTTGGGGGTGCCCCGGTAGGGGCGGGCGCCCCACATGCAGCGGGGGACGATGGCCGGGCACTCTGCGAGGGAAGGCAGCGGGTGGCAGCGGGGAGCTTCTGCCCTTGGCTGGGGACGTGGCTTTGTCCTGGGGGACCCGCTCTGGGGGACACGGTGCTGTCCAGCCACGCCAGTCCCTTGTGTCACCACTCAGACCTTGACAATGCCACCCACCCCGGCACCCAGCACCCACCCCGGCATCCAGCACCCACCCCGGCACCCAGCACCCTCCCTCCCACCCAACTTTTCGTCCTGGGGGGGTGCCACCTCCCTACCGACAAAGGTCTCCATGAAGTCCCGCGCCGCCCGGCGGGCGATGGCCCCCTCCTCCTCCTCACCCACGTCCTCCAAGAGCCCTCGGGTGGGCGGCAGCACCCGGAGCAGGCGCAGCATCGCCACCACCTCCTCCTCCAGCTTCTTCAGCCCCGTCAGCGCCCCGAAATCCCGGCGCCGGTAGCTGCTGGGGGGCCGCCCGCTCGCGGTGCCGTTGTCCGTCCCGTAGTAGCTCCGGAGCAGGGGGGCGAGCGGGACGGGTCCCTTGGCCAAGCGGGCACCCAGCAGCACCCCATCCAGCGCCCCGTTGGCGACGGCCTCGGGGACGGGCGAGGGGGGACCCAGCAGGGTGAAGTTTTGGGGGTTCTCCACGTCGTCCCAGCACCCGCTGGGTCCCAGGGTGGCCCCGCTGTGGTTGTGGGCACGAGCCAAGAGGAAAGCCATCCCCAGCGCCTCGGTGAGGGTGACGGCGTAGAGGGCATCGAGGGCAGCGGGGGGCTCGGGCGTGGGGCCGGGCCACCCCCCCGCCATCCTCAGCCCCACTTCCACGCCTGCGAGCAGCGGCGCGAGGGCCACGGTGGAGCCGTCGGGGGCCAGCACAGCGCCGCGCTCGGGCACCGCGGGGTCGGGGCGCAGGAGGTGGGTGAGCAGCGCCCACTGCTCGGGGCTGAGCGCCGGCAGGTCCGGGGGGGCGGCGGGGGGGTCCCCCAGCACGGCGAGGCACCCAGGGGTGCTGCAGCTCCCCAGCGCCCGCGCCAGCTCCGGCAGGCTCAGCTCCTCGGCGGCCTCCAGGGCTTCCACCATCTGCAGCACCGTGTCCATGCGGCGCGGGGGGAGAGCTGGGAGGGGGGATGGAGGCAGCTGGGGGGGGCGCACCCGAAACTGGGAAGGGAAAGCCCCCGGAATGGAGGGATTGAACCCAAAAGGAGGCAGGCGCACCCACGCTGCGTGCGGAATGGGGGGAAGGCACGAGGAGGTGGGTGAAAAGGGGCCAGAGAAGGGCAAACGGACCCAAAACGGGGCAAATGAATGCAGAAATGAGCAAATGCACCCGGAGCAGGATGCAGGCACCCAAAGCAGAGGGAAAGCACCCAAAATCAGGGGGAAAGCACCCAAAATCAGGGGGAAAGCACCCAAAACAGACGGAAAACACCCAACAAAATGCACCCAGAAAAGGTTAAATGCACCCGGAGAGAGGTCAATGCACCCAGAACGGGGCAAAGGCGGCCAGAAAAGAGCAAAAGCACCCAAAAAAATGGGGAAAAGCCCTCAAAGCAGAGCAAATGCACCCAGAGGTGGCCAGAACAGGGCAAATGCAGCCCAAAAAGGGCAAATACACTAAAAATTGAGCAAATGCACCCCAAAATCAGGCAAATGCATCCAGAGAGCAAAGTGAAAGCACCTGGAGCAGGGCCAAGGCACGCGGAAAAGGGCAAAAACACCGAAAGCTGGGAAAAATGCCCCCACAGCAGGATGGATGCGTGCCAGAAAAGGGCAAAAACACCCAGAAAAGGGCAAAAGCACCCAGCAAAGGACAAAAGCACCCCCAAAACAAGGTGACAGCTCCCGGTATGAGCACCCGGAGCCCAATGGAAGCAAAACGCACCCAAAAGTGGGGGCACCCCCCAAACACCACCCCTCCTCCACCCCGGACAGTCAACCTGCCTCGATTTTGGGCTAAAACCTCACTAATTAGGGAAAATAGAAGCGTGGGTGGAGCCGTTTGGGCCAGAAATGGGGCTTGCGGGGCTGCAGCGCGTCGTGACATGTCGCGACGTGCCGTGGCCTGTCATGACACGCGGCCACGGGGCCTCCCCCTACCTGTGCCAAGCCGGGCGCAGAGGCCGAGCGCCACGACGAGCCAGGGGAGCATGGCGCAGGGCAGCGCGCGGCCCCCGGTCGATGCATGGCACGGACTTTGTCCCCAAGGCCTGGGGGTGTCACCGGGGCACGGGGGCCGCTGGGGGGGGACACATGGGCACCGGGGGGTGGCACCTGCATGTGGCACGTGTGTGTGTGTGGGGGTGGCTCACGTGTGCAAGGTGGTGTGCACGTGGTGGAGCCTGGGAAGGGGACCTGCGTGTGTGTGCGTGTGCATGGAGTGTCCCTGGGGGGGTGCACACACGTGTGTGTGCGTGCACATACGTGTGCGTGCTCACCTGTGAGTGCACAGGGAGTGCGCACACGCACCGTGCGTCCACGTGCACAGAGGTGTTTGCACACATGATGGCACGCGTGTGCATGCGTGTGTGTGTGCACATATGTGCACACGTGTGTCTGCACCGACTCTGCAGCCCCCTTCCACCCCCCCCCAGTTCCCCCACCTCCTGCACTACTGGTTAAACTGGGTCCCGGCCAGGGAGCCCCCCCCCCCCGCCCCATGCCCAGCAGCCCCAGCACCCACGGGTGCGACGCTGAGGCTGCCCCAGCGCCCATGGGTGCGGTGGGGACGTTGCGCCATGCTGTGGGTGGCCGGGGCACCCATGGGTGCGGTGGCAGGGTTGCAGCGTGCTAGGGGTGGCCCGGCAGCCAGGACACGCTGCCAGCAGGCGTGCCAGGGCATGGCGGTGCCACCGCGACGTGTCGGGGCGTGATGGCACCAGGACACGCATGGGGGGGACAAGGACACCAGGACATGTCACAGCATGAAGCCACCAGCACATGCATAGAGGGGACAACGCCACCAGGACGTGTCCGGGGACAATGCCACCAGCACACACACGGTGGCACAGTGACACCAGGACACACCAGGGCATGTGACAACATCGTGCTGTGTCCCCACCCCTGGCCCAACCTTCGCCCCGTCCCCGTTCCGGGTGCCAAAGTGCGTCCAGCCAGGGGGGGACCATGGTGGCCGCCTGGGTGCTGGGTCCCTTGGGCGCCCTGCTGCTCGCCCTGCTGCTGGGGTGGCTGCCGGGCGCGGTGGCCGCTGTCACCCGCTTCCGAGCCACTTGTCACCACCTGCACCGCTTCCCCCGGCCCCCCCTGGCGCAACTGGCTGCTGGGGCACACCGGGATGGTGAGGGGACACGGGGACGGGGACGGCAGGAGGGGCTGCAGGGACAGGGCGGTGGCATTTGGGGTGGGGGGGGAGCAGGAAGGAGGTGGTGGCACCGGGTGGGGACAGCAGGGACAGGGCGGCGGAACTGGACAGGGACAGTGGGGACAGGGGGGTGGCTTTTGGGGTGGAAGCAGGGGCGGGAGGGACGGAGAGGTTGCACCTGGGGGTGACAGCAAGTGCCGGGTGGTGACACCCATGGGGGGGGGGACAGGAGGGACGGGACGGTGGCATTTGGGGGGTGACGGCAGGGACAGAGCCGTCGGTGACCGCGCGGTGCCCGTGGCGCAGGGGAGGAACACGGAGGAGGGGCTGCAGGACGTGGACCAGCTGGTGGCACGCTACCGCCGCGGCTGCCTCTGGTGGGTGTCCCCGTGGCTGCCCGTCCTCCGCCTCTTCCACCCCGACACCCTGCGCCCCGTGCTCATGGCCTCAGGTAGCCCACCATGGGGGACGCTGGAGGTGGGAGGAGGGGGACACGGGGGTCACCGAGCTGTCCCTGAGGGTCCCCAGGGCCACCCAGAGGTGTCACCTGCGGGTGACCCGGCTGTGCCCTTCCCTGGTGGCCACCAACCCAACGCCAGGGGCCACCCGAAGGTGTGAGCCATGGGCAACCCAAAATGCTCACCCCGTGGTGGCCACCGACCTGTCCTCAAGGGGCCCCGGAGTCACCCAAAAGTGTCACCTGGGGCTGATTTGGTGACCCAGCTGTGCCCAGCACCCGTGGTGGCCACCAACCTGTCCCCAAGGGTCCCCATTCCAAATTGCCAAAATTGGCCTGGTTGTGCCCCAATACCCACCCTGTGGTGGCGACACCCCCCCGTGGGTGCACAAGGGGGGGGATCCCCACTCCTCAGGAACCCCAAGCCCCTTGCAAGCCCCCAGGGGGACCTGGTGCCCCCCCCGTGCCACCCCTCCCCGCTGGATGTCCTCGTTCCCCTCTCTTGCAGCCTTCATCGCTCCCAAGGACAAACTCTTCTACGGCTTCCTCAAGCCCTGGCTGGGTGAGTGGGGGGCCCTGGGTGGGGGTGGGGGGGGCAGCACCCATGGGTGCCCCACAGATGCCACAGGGAGCCTCGCGCAGGGGACGGGCTGCTGCTGAGCCGCGGGGACAAATGGGCCCGGCACCGGCGCCTGCTGACGCCCGCCTTCCACTTCGACATCCTCAAGTCCTACGTGAGCATCTTCAACAGCAGCACCCACACCATGCACGTGAGCACGGCCCCCCGGCCCCCCCACCTGCACCCGGACCCCCGCTCCTGACCCAAATCCACACCCAGACCCTGGGTCCTGACCCAAATCCACACCCAGATCTTGGTTCCTGACCAAAATCCTCACCCAGACCCTGGGTCCTCACCCAAATCCTCACCCAGACCCCAGTCCCTGACCCTTCCCCTCACCCGACCCCTGCCTCCTGTCCCCATCCCAACCCCCCCCACCCCCTGACCGTCACCCCCTGCCCCCAGGCCAAGTGGCGGGCGGCGGCGGAGGCAGGGGGGGGCACGGCGGAGCTGAACGTGCTGGAGCACCTCAGCCTCCTCACCCTCGACAGCCTCCAGAAATGCATCTTCAGCCACGACAGCCGCTGCCAGGAGTGAGTGTGGCCCCGTCCCCACGCCAAGGACCCCCCCAACCCCATCACATCCCTCCCAGCTCTGTCCCCAGTGAGGTGCCACCACCCCGGCACCGTCCCTTTGGCGTTTCCCCCCCAAATCGCTGGTGGCCGTGTCCCCAGCCGTCCCCCCCGTTGTCCCGCAGGCAGCCCAGCGAGTACATCGAGGCCATCCTGGAGCTCAGCACCTTGGTGGTGCGGCGCCACCACCGGCTGCTCCACCACCCCTCGTGGCTCTACCGCCTCTCGGCCGACGGGCGCCGCTTCGCCCGCGCCTGCGCCACGGTGCACGCCTTCACCGCCGACGTGGTGCAGCGCCGGCGCCGAGCCCTCAACACCCTTGGCCACCAGGCCTGGCTGGAGAGCCACCAGGGAAGGAGCATGGACTTCATCGACCTCCTGCTGCTGACGAAGGTTTGGGACGGGGACGGGGGCGCTGGGGTCGTGGCGAGGGTTGGGGGTTGGATGGTGGCCACAGGGAGGTGGCCAAGGAGCCGTGGTGCCCAGTAGGGTGGTGGTAGCCACGGGGAGGACTGGCCGTGCGGTGGTGGCCATAGAGGGACAATGGTGGCCAAGGGGATCGTGGTGGCCCTGGGAAGGGTTGGCCACTATAAGGGGATGGTGGTGGCCATGGGAAAGTCTGGCCATGTTCTTGTGGCCACGGGGTGACACCGGTGGCCATGGACGCTCACCCTTGCAGGACGAGGACGGCAACACCCTGTCGGATGAGGACATCTCGGCCGAGGCCGACACCTTCATGTTCGAGGGTGAGGGAGGCACAGGGTGCCATCGGGCGGGGACACGGGGACGCTCGGATGTCCCCTCACCCCCTCCTTGTCCCCGACAGGGCACGACACGACGGCCAGCGGCCTGGCCTGGCTGCTCTACAACCTGGCCCACCACCCCCAGTACCAGGAGCGGTGCCGCCAGGAGGCCCGCGAGCTCCTCAAGGGCAGGGACGTGGCGGAGATCGAGTGGTGAGAGACCCCCCCCCCCCGCGGTGCCATCGTCCCCTCGGCCACCCGGCTCGGGGACCCCCGGTGTCACTGTCCTGCACCCTCCCCCCTCCAGGGACGACCTGTCCCGCCTGCCCTTCACCACCATGTGCATCAAGGAGAGCCTCCGCCTGCACCCCCCGGTCACCGCCGTGTCCCGGCGCTGCACCGAGGACATCGCCATGCGTGACGGGCGCGTCATCCCCAAGGGTAAGCCCCGAGGTGTCCCCAACGTCCCCAACGTCCCCGTCCCTCCGCTCCCCGGTCCGTAATGCGGCCCCGTGTCCGTCCCACCAGGGGTCATCTGCCTGATGAGCATCTACGGGACCCACCACAACCCCGAAATCTGGCCCGAGCCCCAGGTAGAGCCACCGCTGGCAGGGCCGTGGGGCTGCGGGATGTCCCCATCACCAGTGTCCCCACGGCGTGCCAGCGTCCCTTGTCACCCCAGGTCTACAACCCACTGCGCTTCAGCCCCGAGAACAGCCAGGGCCGGTCCCCGTTGGCCTTCATCCCCTTCTCCGCCGGGCCCAGGTAAGTCCCGGTGGGGACGTGGCCGTCCCCGAGCGCCACCCACCAGCCCTGGGGTGCCGAGCCCGACGGTGACACCCCCTGGGGGGGACGTGGTGGCAGGAACTGCATCGGGCAGAGCTTCGCCATGGCCGAGCTGCGCGTGGTGGCGGCGCTGACGCTGGCTCGCTTCGCCGTGAGGCCGGACCCCGCCAGGCCGGTGCGCCGCAAAACCGAGCTGATCCTGCGCGCCGAGGACGGGCTCTGGCTGCGCCTGGAGCCGCTGCCGGAGGAGGCCTGAGGAGCGGGGACATGGGGACACGGGGACACGGGGACACCCCAGGCGGTGGCCGTGTCCCCCCCGCTCCACCAGCAGTGAATAAACGGTGGCACAGTGGGGACGGCGGCGTGGTGGTGGTGGTGGCACGGGGTCGGGGTGGGGGACGTGGGGGTGACGGGGAGGTCCCGTGGGGCTCCGTGGGGATGTCACCGTGTGCCCGGTGTCACCGTGCGGCGGGGACGCGTCCCCCGGGGCCACCCGATGGCATTTGGGGTGGGGATGTCCCCAGAGCCTCGTGTCACCTCCTGGCAGGGCCGTGTCCCCTGGCGAGGGCACGTCCTGGTGCCATGTGCCCCATCCCTGACGTGTCCCCAACGTGTCCCCAATGAGCCCCCAGTATGTCCCCAGCATGTCCCCAGAGTGTCCCCAACGTGTCCCCAGTGTGACCCCATCAGGACCCCATCGTGTCCCCAACGTGTCCCCAACATGTCCCCAATGAC